CAAGATAATTTTTAGGATTTTGTACGCAAGATCATGGGTAAGATCTTAGGAACAAAAATATCTTGACATCCTGTACCAAAGATCTTGCCAAGATCTTTCCGAAAAAATCTAAGATGTCAAGATCTTGGTTCCAAGATGTTCGACTAGGGTAATACTCAAAATGCTCATCTGGTACTAAATTCTTGCTAAATCTTCTTGAAATTTTATATAGATCTGAGCTAGTTGTATTCGACATACTTCATTTAAGAATTCCATAAGGATCTTATTATATTAGATTCTTATCAGATTCTATGCATTTCAATCGATTGCCTTATTAAGCGTTTATAAGATTTCTGTAATATTTCTATTAGATTCTTACAAATATTCATAAGATTCTATAGAAATCCTATTTAAGATTGAATCGTTAGGGATAAATTGCATGAGTTAATTACAGTCAAAGATTCCTAGTTTCAGCAGTTTTATTAGAATTGTGTGATGATATAACATAATAGTTTTACTCTTGATTGTTTTTCTCACACTGTCGTCTGTTTCCTGCTCAGACAGTGTATGTGTAAAATGAAAAGAAAAAATCAAATCTTTTTTCGTCTATTGTTTTTGTCCTTGTGATCAAAGTAACGTCGACACTCATACTGAGATGAAAAGAGTAATGTCGGTATGAGAGAATTGTTGATTTATTATTAGCTAAGATTTGTCTTTCCACTTATAAGATTGAGATTAATCGTTAAACAGATACAATTCTTTTTAACACATACAGCGATAATAGAAATTAAATTGTCCATAACAGAAAGGAGAGAATGACAAATTGACCATAAAAATTGGCCGTTTGAAAATATCGTGTTTATGTAAATCAGAGTCTATCTTTAAATACACACGGTCAATAATCTGAATTATTGAAAATCTGATCAATTGCTGACGTAATCTTTCAAAAAGGTTTACACTACCCGCCTGGGAGTCATAACAATCTTTCTGATAACTCAAATCAAATTAACTCAGAATACGTTTTTATATAGTATTTTAATATAATAGTTTAAAGCAAGGAGAAGCAACTCTAGTACAGAACAAAGCATCCGATAGTTCAAAAGAGAACAGTTCAGCGGAACTCTATGTACCAGTAGGGCTTATTTATTGTGTTAATTTTTTTTTTCATCAAAATGCTATGTTTTACGTGACATATTTATAACATAAAGTAAGTTACATCTGGATGATCTAAAAAGCGAATATGCATCTACAAAAAACACTTTGTCACTTTTAATCACATAACAAACTCGTTTTGTTTTATACACCTGTAAACGATCCGAAAAAACAATTTTAAATCGGAAGATGGTATTGTATAATCCGCTCTCTTTCTTCAATCGTTAGAGACTCTGTTCTCTAATAAATCGTTATTGAAAACTATCGAGCGGCGCAGAATCAATTAGATGTATTTTCAATTTTTATCCTCCTTACACTTGATTGAGCTAGTTCTTTTACCAAAAGATTTCCTATTGAATTCTCTACAAAAAATGTATTGACTGTTTTATTACAAAATCTGAAGGTGTAAAATGCCATGAGAAATGGTGAGAAGTACTAAAACGTTGAAAAAATAAACGCATCCTCTCTAAGAGAGTGGAATTTTTTCGAATGGTTCCACAAGCATTAAAACACAGTTTCAGTATAGTTTTGTGTAGTTTCAAATACGTTCTGCTCTGTCTTGTCGTGTAGAACGAAAATCGTTTGAATCTGAATACCCGTCGCAAAGATTAATTTCTCAGCAATCAAGGGAAAATAGCAAAAATTGTTACCATTTTTTTTGCATGGTGGAACAAAACAAAAGTTTTTTTCTAAATCTTCTTAGAGATGCAATCATAACGACTAATCATTTGTTTTCAAAATTAAAAAAATCAATCTGAATGGATCAAGTTTGACTAAGCTTTATTTGTTTTATTGGAAGGCTCAAATTATTGGTAAAAAACCGTCATTTTTTGAAAAATTGGCAAAGAATAATGAAATTCTTGCGCCCTCAGTTCTAACTGAAAATTATTTGAATTACAGATAGAAAATAGAGCTTTTCGAGGTGCACACGATGACTACTTCAGCTTTCCTCTCTCACAAACTTTTAGCAGATAATACTAAAAGAAACTGTAAATACGTTTATTTTTTCAACATTTTGGTGCTTCTCACCATTTCTCATGGCATTTTACACCTTCTGATTTTGCAATAAAACAGTCAATACATTTTTTGTAGAGAATTCAACAGGAACTTTTTTGGTACAAAAACTAGCTCAATTAACTTTCGCATAAGGAGGAGAAAATTTGAATATACGAACAATCTAATTTATTCTGCGTCACCCGATATATTGCTAGTTACAAAACTATCTAATACTCTTTGACTTGCGCGTCAACCTAATCTCATATTAGCAAACAAAAAACATGTTTCTTTTCCACGATTGTATGTTTTTATATGTTAAACTGTGTTCATGATGAGATAGATAAATGTATCTATTTCTTGCGTTTGATATGTAAAAAAACTTTTATGATAAAACAAAACATTTATATCCTTTTCATGAGCGTTTTCCCAGTGTCAATACATCATCTTACGTGATATAATTGAATTGAATTTTATTTATAGATGTGTTTACACATCTTTCGAACTTGCTACTTTCTCATCCTATATTTTTATTATCAGTAAATTGTCATAAAATATATTTTCTATTCTGTTTATAATTTCAGCTGTTTTCCCACGAAAAAATGAAATTTGTCTCACAATATATATTCTATATAGGTATGGGAATATGGTTATGTGAGAAAGAGAGAAAGAGAGAGAAGGAGAAGAGAAATCAAAATTATTTGTGCATACATAAGTAGATATCTATATCTCTCCGTATATATAAATATACTGTTCAATTTGAACATGTAGACCATTTATTTCACTCCTTTTCGACTATAGTGAACGTTTCTCTTATAACCGTGATGTTATACATAGAACATATTTCGTTGATAACTGTTCCATTATCCATCATATTAACAACATTAAGCGTTGTTTTACCATACTGGTGGTCAACTCAAACATTTATTATTGGCTTTTGGAGAGCTCATTATCATCACACATGGATTATTATCGATCCACAATTAGATTCTCAAGCAGGTAAGACTAAAGATTTTTATGTAGTAGTAGAAAAAATTCTCAGATATTACGGATTTAAAGAAGTGTTTATGAATGAACTAAAATCGCATCAGTTTCAAGTATAAACTACCAATATCTGATACTGATGCTTCGAAAATTTTTGTTCCAGGTTTGTTTAGATGTTTTGACATTTGCATAAAACATTCTTAAACATTTTTTTTTATAAATGTGTGACTAGTTCATAATGCTAATAATCAGTTAACGAAAGATAAAAGTATTAAAAGGTTATAAAGAGCGCGATAGATTGTTGCAATTTACACTGTCACTTGGCACGTAGTGATCGGCTACTAAGTATACACGGTTTAAGAGAAGAATGGATTAAAGTTATTATTACACTAAAATCTCACTAATAAAAATATCCTGCTTTATTTCAGGTCGTTTAATATGTTCGTTACAACAATTATCAATTTTTACTGTTATTTTAACAGATTTATCCATCGTATTCTGGTTAATTGATTTGATACGTCGTGAATACAAACACTTAATCAGTCTTTTATGTACAATAATTATATGTTGTAAGTACTGTTTCGTTTAACGTTCAAAAAAGTATCGGATTAGTTAGAATTTTTATTTTTTTGTTTATTTTCTAGGGTTTTGTATAGCCACGTTGTTAATTTTAACATTTTATACAGCAAAACTGAGTGATAGCACAATTCAACTTCAATTATCCTGCTCGTTTTATTTAGCGTGCTCCACACTTTTATTTCATTCTCTAACAATCGTTAGTTTAACCATTAAATTTTGTACATATCGATCATCGAAACGATTCATTCAACCAACAGATATACTTCAATCAACGGCATTATCAGATAAAGCTAAATTAGCATTTATTAATGTTTAGACTATTATTGTTTTATATTCTATGATGTGTCCGGTGACTAAATTAAACAAATGTACTCAAAAATCTACCTCTTGTAAATTCTTCTCTTCTAATCTATAATTATTATTTTAATAAATTTTTTTATATGAAAAATAAAATATTCCTAGTGAAATTCGTTGAAGATTGAACAAAATATTTATACATTGTTCATAGTTGCATTAATTAGACTACATAGTTCTAATGAAAAAATATTTTCTTATAATAACTAACGCATTCCGAGTGTACCAGCTAAGTTTTTATAAAAATTTCTTTTCCAAATACACGTAGCATTCTGATTCATGTGGAAAATCGATCTCATCTTTGTTGAGATACTTTTTGTAGAGGTCATCCGATAGGATATATGAGTGTGTGTGTGAGAAATATGTTAAACGAATCGATGACTACTTCTATTTCTATTATCTACATGCTTTGAATAGACCTAGCGTGCATATCGTGAACTATTAATACGTTAGAAACACGTGGGGCAATTAGAACGCGGTCAAAAAGTTTTGCGCTATTTTTCTTGTAACTTTGAAAGCTTAGTAGTTTTCACAAAACTTCCAATGCAAAAGTTGTAGAGTAGGGTGTTAGGCACCGATTGGTGCAAAAATCAATCGGAAATCTTACCAGCAAAAAGATTGGGAGCAGTTTTACTGGAGGAGGGTCCGAAACGTTCTTATTTCTCGCAAGTGGGAAATTAGAACATTTGCTGTGTCTGCATGGCGTAAATGGAACGCATCTACCAAAAGTAATGGGATTATCTTCAAAATCATCTTCATTTTCTATTTTATATCTCTATTTCACACTATTAATACAAAGTTCCTTAGGAAAAGATTTAGAGAATTGTTTCACCCACGAGCTAATGTACTTTGGAAAGTCAATGCACGTACTCCAGAATATGATGGAGAGCACGACGAGGATTTCCCCATGTTCATACAACGGGAGCATGAAGAAATGCAAAGAATTATTTTAAAAAATTTTCTAACCGTAATAAAACTGCAAATCATATGAGCAGTGGTGTATGCCTTATGCGAAATGTAGAGGAAGTTTGTCATCCTGAAAATGATCGCTTTAAACAAGCAATTGCCAAGGACGATCGCCTAGCTTTTGATTAGGGATGAGGATCGCTGATACCATTAGAAGAACGAAGATCAATGAGATCAAGAATCTCATTCTATAAATATTTTCCCAGTGCCTGTCGTTGTTCTTAATATGGTCATTAATACAATTTTGCATGATTTTTAATTTATAGACTATGGCAGCATACTTTGTGTTTCGAAGGGGAAACGTATTAAGAAGACTGTTCGTAATAGAAATAGTCACCGAAACGTTTTCAGATTGTGTACCATATGTGGGACTATTTGTTGCAAAATGTAGAACAAGATTGGCACTCATATTATGAGGTTGGTTAAAATAGGTTGGTTGTTAATACTTGAAAGAATTGTTCGGGTTTGTTATAGTGGGACTCAGGATTTTGGAATCTTTTCTTAATAAATTATCTACTGAAAAAACCCAAGTTTTAGAAATCATCGATGCTATCTTGTGTTGATACAAAAACCCAAATTTATTTATTATTATTATCACATTTAGTAAGCTTGACATAATAACCAAAGCTGTTATCATTATGCTTAGAATTGCTTCAAACCTCAGATCATTGAAGAATTTTTTCGACTTTTACAATGTTTGTTCGATCATCACGCTCCTACTATAAAAGCGCTTGCTGCTACATAAACTATTCTATTCGTTTTGTAAGCTAGCCAATAGAAATTCAAAATGGCTAAGATGCCTGAATAGAGCGCTTTTTTTTTGTCAAAAATAACGTTTAGTTGTATTGTTTCCTTTTAGCTCTAAATAGTAGCTCCAAGGAGCTATGATCAATGCGAATACGCTGCGTACATACGCTTCCGGGTAAATACTTTAGACTTCTACAGTTTTTCAAAATTTATCATCGTCTAAGTCCTGTCTCTCTTTTTTATACTATATTATCATCGCCCTCACTATTCATCCTTGCGTCTTCATCACTCTAAATATGTTCGCATTCCATCTTCTGTTATTGGTTTTTCTCCGCAAACGGTACATTCTTCTTTTTTTTATTCAACTATTGCTGACTGGAATAATCTTCCAGAGTTAATTATTCGTCATTCTTCTTTATTGTCTTTCAAAACAGCTGTGCTTCAGTATCTCTTCCAGTGGAACGATTGTCGGTTATGAATTTATATTTGTTCTTTTCTTTTCCTCATTTTCAAAAATTTTCTTTCCTTTTTTTTTACTTTATTGTGTTATTTGGCTTGAGTCATACTTATTACAGGTGTATGACCTTTGATGACTCTCACTTTTCGTGAATAAAACAGTCTTAGTCTTAGTCTTAGCCTTAGAGTTTAAAAATACGCTCTGTTTTACGCTTTGCTATCGCTGTTTACGCTTTCTTGTCTAATACAACTTATTTGTATTTACCTCATACCAAAATTCTGGTTACGGCCCTGGCATATCCTTTGGTTGGAAAAACAGAGCTTACTCGTGCGCTCAGCGGATAAATTCTGTTAGAAACACTGGCGTGTACTCATTATGAGTTAAATAATTTATCTTTTTTTGCATCATGTTCCCGAAGAAAAAACCGGGTAAAACATTGTGCAATAACTAAGAAAGGTCTTAACTTTCTTTTGAGAAAGTCGGATGAAAAATGGTTTATCGTAGGCTTTTGTGCTCGGCTTTATCTGCACTATAAAAACCAAGTGCTCTAGCAGATATCACCTGTGAGAAAAATCTAGATACATTTTGTCTGTTATCGGGCGATACACGACTAATTGTCATCTAGATTACTAGTTGGAAAAGGGACTTTTAACTAGATGCGTCTGCATGGGTAACTAGCAATAGTTAAATCGATCGATTATCGGGCGATAAATGGATAGTTGCAGCTAGGAGAAATCTGGCAATCACCCGATTACCAGATTTCCGCTGTCGTTATCCAATAGTTGCAATCGAGTAAGAATTTAGTAATCTAGATGAATCGGGCGATACTAGATTTTTTTGACGATTGGATGTCGTGGAGCACTTGTTTTTTACAGTGTGCCATACTTTTAGCCTGTTTTTCTTCGTAGCCAAGGGCGTACACGAGTTCTCTACACTTTCTTTTTAAAGAATGAATGGAGCCGTAGTAATGTCACTATGTATAAATAAAAATTCGTCCTACATACATAAAAAATAAATAGAAATAAATGAAAAAAACCTTTTTGTAAAATAAGGATAAAGTGAAGAAATAAAGATTTTATTTTATGGAATATATGCAGTAGACATACTAAGAGTTACATACAATACTACTTGATAATACTAAGACCCTGCTTGTTAGTTCACGTGAAAAAATAAAAATAAAATCTTTATTTATTTATTTTACCTTTATTTTTGAGAGATCAAGGAAAGATTCATTTTCTTTATTTTATAAAACTAAATGATGAATTTATATTTATCCATTATTATAAATGAACAATAAAACTAAATTAACATCGCTAGTAGTGCACATTTGTCCCGAAAAATAGCAGTCTTAAAAACCTATATCGATTTGAACAACTGAAGCTTTCTTCAGCCAGTAAACTGTAAAATTATGATGAATAGCGTAAGTATCTCAGAGCTAATGTGCCATTCGATTCACCAGCTTCTAACTAGTCAACTGATAACCTTATTTAAACTTTCTAAGATGTGCTGTTACCAATCGCATAAAAAAGCGACAGTACACCAGAAACATTGATCTGAGTGCACGGACTTTTTACCCAAACTCTGCTGTTCTAATCTAGGTCCTCAAACAAGAACACATTTTACAGTAATGGTCAAAAGTATCTGAACTCTGAATCTCAAAAAAATTCTTTTTCTTTCTTCGAGGCAGTACTTTTTCCTTTTAGTCAGCCACTCGTTCTCAGCTGATAGATATTTGGGGAAAAGATTAGTCGAAAGAGGAAGAGTTGGAGATGAAACATCTGAAGTTAATTCGCTGATATCAATTTTAATTATCTTACAGTTAGTCGCGAAAGTTGACACATTTTCAACTTTCTTAAGATAATTAATTGTCGCGTGGCGGTTAATCATATTTTATACACTACACAGGGACAAAGAGAGACAACGCTCTGTCTAGCAAATAACTGGACAAATTAAAGGAAAATACAAAGAAAACTACGGATTTCATGCTTCAATAAGCTCGCATCTACTCATATATCACCAAAATCCAGCGCTTTTAATATCTCCTATGTTTCTATACTAATCCAGATTGTACGGCCTAGCCTGGGGCCGTCCCGTAGAATGTATTTGGTCCGGCCCATACGGGCCGCTTCGAAAAATTGATGCGTTCTGTGCGATTCGGATCGAACCAAAATTCTTAAGCCCAGATACGAACCATACTGGAGCGAAAAAAAGTGGTCTGGGACGATCTCTGGTCAGCATATAATGACTTAGTCACACATTCCCAATTAGCAATGATAATGATACAAAATAAAGCTAGTTCAAGTTGATTGTTGTGATACGTCGTGAACGTAGTGTTGCCTTTCTGGTGGATTAATCAAGAGAAAGAGTATATGGTTCTTGAGTGCTGAATTATCGTTTCCAGATCCGTCATCAAACTCCGTAGCGAGTGAGTCACTACTTAATGAAGAGAAGAGAGAGGATAATTACTCATTAGGTGATATATACACAAAGGGCTCTTCAATGAGAGTCAAAAAGTTTCTAAGAGGTAATTACGCTGCCTAATGGAATAAAATAATATGTCTAAAAAGATTCTAAAGGACGTTTCACTCAATCAGCTTTCCAATCAGCCCGCAGGGTAGTTGGCACCCAGTCTTCTTTATACACACTGTTCTTTCTTGAGTCAGTCCTCAGCTATTTCAAATTGTGGAGATTTAGGACAAAGACCAAGAGAAAGTCTAAGAAGTGTCGGTGACACATCTGAAATTAGCTTTTCGCTATATGCTTTGATTGACATATTATATGAGCCCTAAAAC